AACCCGGGAGGCAGAGCTTGCAGTGAGCTGAGATCCGGCCACTGCACTCCAGCCTGGGCGACAGAGCGAGACTCCGTCTCAAAAAAAAAAAAAAAAAGAAAACCTTCTGGAAAGGATTCACCATTCTAGATGCCATTAAGAACATTCATGATTCATGGCTGGAGGGGTCAAAATATCAACATCAACAGGAGTGTGGAAGAAGCTGATTTCTACCCTCATAGACGACTTTGAGGGGCTCCACACTTCTGTGGAGAACCTGACTGCAGATGTGGTGGAAACAGCAAGAGAACTAGAATTAGAAGTTGAGCCTGAAGATGTGATTGAATTGCTGCAATCTCACAATAAAACTTGAAAGGGAGGGCTGGACACGGTAGCTCACGCCTGTAATCTCAACACTTTGGGAGGCCAAGACCGGTGGATCATGAGATCAGGAGATCGAGACTATCCTGGCTAACACGGTGAAACCCCGTCTCTACTGAAAATACCAAAAAAATTAGCCGGGCGTGGTAGCGGGCACCTGTAGTCCCAGCTACTCAGGAGGCTGAGGCAGGAGAATGGCGTGAACCCGGGAGGCGGAGCTTGCAGTGAGCCAAGACGGCACCACTGCCTGGGCGACAGAGCAAGACTCCATCTCAAAAAAAAAAAAAACTTGAATGTGTAAAATCCTATCAAACAGCACTGCATGTTACCGAGACATCTTTTGTAAGAGAGTGAATCACCATGGCAAACTTTACTGCGGTTTGAAGAAATTCCTACAGCCCAATCTTCAGCAACCACCACCCTGATCAGTCAGGAGCCATCAAACTTGACGCAAGATCCTCCAACAGCACAGAGATTACACTTGCTGAAGGCTCAGATAATCGTTAGCATTTTTTAGTAATAAAGCATTTTCAAATTAATGTGGGTACATCCGTTTTATTTAGACACAGTGCTACCGCACACTTAATAAACTACAATAGCATATACACATAACTTCTTTATGCTCTAGGAAACCAAAACCATGTAGGACTTGCTCTATTGCAATGTTTACATTTTTGTGGTGGTCCGGAACTGAACCCACAGTGTCTCTGAGGTCACCTGTGTTTGCTTTCTTTGCTTTTCAATTGGCAGATTTAGAAATAAAATGTGCTTGTTGCAAAAGAAGCAGGACCAGGCAGGGGGCACAAGCCAGGCTCCTGTGGAGTCCCCCCAGAGGTGGGACCCACACGACAGGAGCAAAGTCAACCGCTGCAGAGGCCCCTGAGCCCATGGCAGCTCAGAGAAGCCAATGGCAGGTCCCAGGGTTATGTGGGACCAACAGCTGTCTCTAGGGCAGGAAGCTTTCCATGAGCTTGTTCGGGAGAGGGGACTCACCCTCTCCTGCTGGCGCTTCACCCTGTACTGTTTGAGCTGCTCTTCCAGCCACTTCCGAGCCTGAAGTCGGACCTGCTCCTCCTTCTCCAGTGGCAGGGAAGAATCTGTAGAGCCTGCAGTGGGAAAATGGCCATTTGGAAACTCATCAAATACCAGGATGCAGAACAATCAGGCACAAGAACTTGGTCATTTTGTACTTAATTACCCATATATTTTACACCTAAACAATGCAGAGCCATCTTGTTTGGAAGGACAATTTCTAGATCAAGAGAGAACTGTGAGCCCCTGACACTGACCACAGGCGGGAACCACCTCACAGGAGACACACTGGCCAGGCACTGGGTCTGTGATCCCATGACGAGTACACCCCGCCTGGGGGCATCCCCTGGTAAAACAGGAAACCACGGCAAGTGACTTTTTTTTTTTTCTGAGACAGAGTCTTGCTCTGTCTCCCAGGCTGGAGTGCAGTGGTGCGATCTCGGCTCACTGCAA